TTATAAAATTGCTTTAATATGTTGGAGTTGTTGGACATCTCAAATGCTCTCGTTGTCTGCAATAGGACAAAGACTGCTTTGATTCTGAATCTATTCACGTGGGTGGAATTGGGGCTGTTGTTGGGAAAATCTAAAACACACACACACACACACACACACACACACACACACACACACACACACACACACACACGCGCGCGCGCGCGCGCGCACGCACACACACACAGGGCAGCAGATGCACCTCTGTGCCCATCTTCCTCATCGCACCCTCATCATCTGTATTGTACCGGATGTCCATGGGTTGCGACGACGGTTGGCATCACTACCCTATTTGGCTATTCTTTTCGTCAGGGTTCTCAAAGTTTGAATGTCAAAAGCAATCAGAACTCTGGAAAATCGCTTATTAAGTTTGAAGAGAAAACTTCAGAAAATCTGGAGAACTTCAGAAAAAAGCTAGAACTCGTCAGAATAAGCTGAAAGTTGTGTGAGTTGTTTTGTTTCTTTGGAGCATGCTTGTGCAATTATTGTTTATCTGCAGAGGTCAGTTGACCATCTGACTTTGACTTTTCACTAGTTTGGACTAGCAATGCTGGATGAGCCTCGAGCTGGAAGCTGGGTTCGATGTGCCGAAGATGACAAGGCTGTTCTGCGGCAGATGGCATCAAACGCTCAAGAAGACACAAAGAGTGAGAACAGTGCAGACAACAACAGAAGGTTCAATTCTTGTTCTTGATGAACCTCTGCCCTCCCCCCTCCACCACCCACCCAAAAAAAGAAGGGAAAAAAAAAGAACTTGGAAACAGTGCGAAACAAGGATTTAACCTATGCTGCCTGGGAAAGCCAACCGGGCAGCCGGGTGACTTTTCCGGGGGGTCTTCTGCCCACATCAACCTGGGCATGTGAAAAGTCCAGGATTTTTTTTTTTTGGCAGTGGGGAATTTTTGCACCCACCTAAAGCAGCCCAAGTCCGGGCTCTATTCCGTTTTTTTTTTTTTTTTTTAACCAAAATGGCCCCTTCTATTTTGGGGGGCAACAGCCCGGTTGCTCATCACTGGCAAGCATGTTTGTACATCCAAAGAAGGGGAGGGATCAGACTAGAGAATTGGAACGGCCCAACCTTTGAGGCTCTAGTCGCCTAACAAGGGAGGAACTGCAAACCAAAGGGGGGGGGGGGGGGYCCCGCCCCCCCAAACCGTGGCCTCTCTCCAAGGGCCGCCCTGCTGGCCGGGAAGCTTACTAGCAGCACCCAGACACGCAGCAGGGTGGCCCTCGGGGAGGGGACTCCCATCCAGTTCCTCGGGCCGCATATCAAGACCCGCAAGTCACCAAGTCCTCACTTTCTACCTTGGTCTATCTTATTCTACTCTCATCCTGTCCATCTTCTCTGTGTTGTCACATTCAGTCCACCTTCGACAACACTCCACATCCCTCGTGACTCTCATCTTTGCCGTCTTAGCTAACTCCGTATCTCGTACTATCTCTGACTATCTCTAAGTCCCTTGCTCCCCAAGTCCTGTTTCCACAATGCCAAAAGTTCTTTTGCAGTCATATAGGTTTCAGCATCATAATCCTAAGGGTGGGAGTATGCCCATCCCTTCTGTTCCAGTTTCTATAAGACATATAGCTTTTGATACTCCTGCACTCTTTTTTTTGTTTTTTTCATTACATCCCCCCCCCCTCGCCCCATCCGTTCTTCCCCACCCCTTTTCCTTTACCCCTACTCAACGCCTTCTAATCCCCACCCCGTAATATTGTACAGCTTCCAATCAACGCTCTAATTCTACATAACGCCTACCCCCATCCCCCCTAACTACTATACATGTCGGCTGCTTATCTTGATTGATCTCATCCCTATTCAGATTTTTCCCTCCATTTCTGCAGGGGCCCTTTGGCATAGCAGCACGGGGCCGAACTGCATACGGCCTGTCTGGGGATCTCGGGCAAACAGCTGCGCATATGGGCCCTTCTGGCCCAGTACCGTTTCTCTTTCCCTTCGCCTGTGTTCCAACTGTGGTGCCAATCCGCCAGGAGAGCCACTCGAATATTTTCCAGTGACCTGTCCTGGTCAGTCTGCAACCGGGGAGAAGTGCCATGTCTGCAGCGCTCATTCCTCAGTGTCCACAAGGCCCACAACACTGCCGCCCTCAGAAGTTCGGCTGCCATCAAATCCTCCGGTTTTGCCCTGGCCACTTTCATCAGTGCCCCCCTACCGTCTTCACCCGAATAGAACGCCCGATCATTATAGATGTATTTGACACAACTTTCGGTCCAGATGCAGCGATAATGACCGGGCGTGCTATTCGGGTGAAGATGGTAGTACGATAACCGTGTCGTCCCCCTCCGTGGCCTCAAGCGGGGATTTGTCCGGCATTTCTTGTGCCCACCACTCTCAGAAGGCCTGCACTATCGGACATTGTACAAACAGGTGGTGTATTGTCTCCACTTGTCCACAGCCTGCTGGACATCTCTGATCCTTGTGTCGGCTCTTAGTTGCCATCCACTGTGCTGTGGGGATCGCTAGATGATACAACTGCCATAGCAGACTCGCCTGTTTCTGGTCTGGCAGGGCTGCCATGAGTGCACATTGTTCATTACACCTTATCTGTGTCCATCTGCCGAAGTAGGTGTCAGGAATCCAGTTCCTTTTGGCCCACCGAGTCCTCAGCTCCTCACAGATGTTGATTGGCTCCGGTAGAGAGTTACAGATGTTTTTTGTCGTAAGATTCTGGAGCGGCACATCTTTCCTTTGCATTCTTTGTCTCGGCCATCCCCATTCTCTCCGGTCCCATGTAAGCTCCCGTCGTCTAGATGCGATACGAAAGGGTACGTATTATCCCCCCCCCCCTTATTTCCTCCCTCAGATACGGCCACCGTTTCGACTGTATTCCTATCCATGCTTTTCTTGGGGTTCCTTCCCCCGTCGCATCCTCCTGCATGGGTTTCCCCAGCCCCCTCGTACCCCGTACTCACGCGCCAGCTGGTGATCTGTAACCTTCCGTCTACCAGCACCTGCTCCACCCTATATAATCTCTCCGGTTTAATCTCTCCCTGCATCCTCACCCATTCCCCCGGGGTGATCTCGTCCTTCCTCAGCAGTTCGGTCCACTGGTTGGGGATAGCCTCCCGGAGCTCTCCCACCTGCTGTCTCCTCTTCATTCTGCCCTGCAGGTATTCCAGCACGCCATTGTCCGGACGCTAGTCCTTTCGCTCCTCATTCCATAGGTGGCCTATCTTGTAAACGCCTTGTTCGGCCCACTTCCATCCGTAAGCTTCCCGCAGGCTATGCCAGGGCAGGGGCTCACCAGTGGCGTCACAGATGAACCAGTTTCCGAAGAGCAGCTAGTTAAACACCGCGTCCGCAGTGTCAGGCAGTCGATAGCTCACCTGTACTTTCTTCCACAGTGTCACCTTTGTTGACCATACCGTGTCCCTGCGGATGTGGTGAATCTCGCCTTGTTGTCCAGCAGACACAGATACACTATATCATCAGACACTTGCAATCCATAGGCAAGGTGGGCCCGAGCAACCCCTTGCCATGCAGCCCCGATCGTTCCCAGCAAGTGCCAGAGCAATTGCCGCAGCTGCATGACTATGATCTGTGTTCGCGGATCGAGCAACCCAAGGCCCGCAAACCGTTTCGGCTGGATAAGCTTGTTTCTATGCCACTCTGCATATGAAGTTGTCCGCCTCTGCGTCGTTAGTCCACAAGTGCACATGGATTGCCTTCTTGATATATCTGAAGGTACACCTTCCTGGCATGTGAACTGCACCTGCATACCACAGGGTGGCAAGCACTGAGTTTTTAATGACCAGGGCCTTTCCGAAGACACCCATACTAGCCCCTTTCACTCCATGCCTTCAGTCGAGCCACCGCCCCAGTTGCTCTGAGCGTCATGCTAGACTCCCCGTAGCTCTGCGTAAGATTGGCTCCCAAGAACACCATTCTTCCCTCATTCTCCACCGGGTACGTCCCACCCTTCTGGCCGGTCTATTCCCCGTGGGAGAATGGCCTTGGATTTATAGCAGTTGACCCGCGCTCCCGAGTACTTACAGAATATCTGCAGATCTTCTTTGAGGATGACTAGCTGTTGAGTTGTCAGGGGAATCACCGCCCCCGAGGCATCGGCAAATGCAGTAGATTGCAGCTCCACTGTCAGCCCAACCCTTAAACCGCAAGTGCACGGCCCCAGCCTCACAGAAAGTTTTTGTCGCCACAAGCAAAACTCAGAGGCATCGCGCGGCGTGGGGCGCCATTGAGAAAAAAAATATGTGTGGCCTCCAAAGTGGTGCGGGTTTCATGCTGACACCCGCGGGCCGATGTATGGTGTACTGGTGTTTTAAGCTCTTCAGTCGTTCATCTGCTCTCAGTATGTCATGCATTGATTCAATGCAGTAGATGACGTAGAGAGTGTGGGACAGCAGGCAGCCTTGCCTCACCGATCTGGTCACCCTCAGTTTGTCTGATTTAACCCCATTGACATGCATAACTGTAGTGCCGCCTGTCAACAGAGTACGCACCCAACCCCGAAAGATACCTCCTATCCCCCTGTATGCCATCCCTTGCAGGAGGAATTCCCATCGTACCTATGGAGACGAAGGCCTTGGGCCTGCCTGTACGGCATCCCCCCTCCAGAGCTTGTTGCGCAAGGATCACATAGAGAGGATCTGACGGTCGGACACAAACCCTGTCTGATTTGTGTCTATAATGTACGGCAGGATATCATTAAGACGGTTCCTCATTACCTTAGCAAGGATCTTATACAACGCATTGAGGATAGATATCGGCCGCCAGTTACAGACATCCGCCTTTGGCCCTTTCTTGTATAACAGAATGATGTATGCATCTGCAAATCCCTGCGGTAGGGTGCCAGATTTCAATGCTTCATTGTATGCCGCTGTCAACGGGGCGACGAAGAAGTTACGTAAGTCCCTATACAGCTCCACAGGCATCCCATCCATCCCTGGCGCTTTTAAGCCGGGGGAGTCCTGCTATCGCTTTGCCAACCGCCTCCGGTTTAATGTCCTCCTCTAGTGCACACGAGCTTTCAAGGTCCAGTCTACATCGGACGCGGCACCACACTTCCTGTTCCGGCTCTTTAGCCATCTGCACCAGCATCCAAATCTCTTCCTCGGTCAGCAGGCGGCGGTAGAACTCCGTGACATACTTCAGGATTCCCCTTGTTGTCCTCTGCACCCCCGGCTGTTCGTCAAACGGATGTGCCATCTCCGTCATCAGTGGTGCCACCTTGCGCACTCCCACCGTGGCAAAGATTTCCCTCGACATTCTCTCTCCCACTACTATCCATGACTCCTTCGTTCGCTTTCCCCATTTGACCACTGCTTCTCTTTGCCATTCCCTCCATCCCCTGGCCACCTCCACCCTTTCTGCCCACCATTCATCATTCTTCTTTTTCGTTTTTCGGTGTTGTGACTGTTGTCATTTCTTTTTTTTTTGCAGGGGGCTAAGGCGTTGAGAGGGGTTCAAAGAGGGCGTAAAGGGGTTGAAATCGATGTTAGACGTAGATTGTTCCAAGCCAGGGGAGTCCTTTTTTTTGGG